ATATTTGAGGTTTCCTCTTTATATTGACATTAAAAATCACTAAATAAATTTACATAAAATTAGGATTCAGACCAAACAGTAATGCATTAATGTAACAAACAAAACAAATTAAGTCATATATATGGATTTACTTATGATATCAGAATGATCCAGGTATCAAAATGTAGCTTTTAAAGCAGGAATCTGAAAATGTAATTAGGTTTTTTTTTTTTTTGACCAAATTAGACTTAATCCTCACTTTGATATGATGGGTCACATGTTAGTATTTGCAGCGTTATGATGAAAAACCCAGGTGAAACATCTTTGACATTAAAAACCCACAGTTGATGTTGGCAAAGATTAATCAATAGACATAAAACATGGAAGAATTAGTAATATGAGCTTAAAAAATATTGTTTTATTAAAAAAAGATGTTTGACTAAAGATACTTTTAACTGGATGTTTAAGTCCATGTGCAACAAATTACTTTAAAAATATCCATCTTTTAACGAAAACTTTAAATGTATTTTGGTTGTTATTTAGATCCATTTTTCCCGCTGTCGTTCCTGGTGAACAGCTGGTTTCCGGGGACGTTGGACGCTTTCTTTCAGGCTCTCTTCTTGTGTGCCCTCCTGCTCTTCTGGCTCTGCGTCTACCACGGCATCAGAGTTCAGGTGGGTGCACTGAGTCCCCGTCCCACAATGTAAAAGACGTATTTTCCTTTGAGCTCCTTGTTGATGTGTGTGTGTGTCGTCTTCAGGGCGAGAGGAAATTCCTCACATTCTACCTGCCCAAGCTGATCATCGTAGGGCTTCTGTGGCTCTCTGCAGTCACACTTGGCATATGGCAAACGTAGGTMTTACCTTGAAATACAATCAACTTGATTCGTACTGTAACTTAAAACAGGGCAGAAAATATCTCTGTTTGAATGTTTAGGGTTAATGAGCTCCAGGATCCTACCTATCTGTACAAAGTGGATATCGCAAATTTTCAGGTAAAACTTTTGTGGAACTTTAGAGAACATCCTTTWTAATTAGAAGTTTAAATTTTTACARGTGCAGTATATWTWMWTWTMTTTTTTCAGGGTATGAAGGTGTTCTTCCTGATTGTTGTGGTCTTCTACATCCTCTACCTGATATTTCTGATCGTCAGAGCTTGTTCTGAGCTGAAGAACATGCCTTACTCGGGTACTCCAGCATCCCTAACTTCACTCAGCTCAACCTCAGCTTTTAACAGAACATTAAAAACAAACTCTTTCTGTCGTTTCTAGATCTCAGGCTAAAGTTTTTGACAGCGRTGACGTTTGTAGTCCTCATAATAAGGTGCGTTCAAGAAAAAAACAAATCTTTTAAAGGGATCCCTGATTAGTTGTAACATTAGACTTTATTTGATAAACATATATTTTAACTGTTAAATAAAGACTGTAAAAATAATGTAGTCTGTTTTAGCTTCGTAAATTTTTAAAAATATATTTAACATATACAGAGCCATTTTATTTACATGCAAGGCATTCTGGGTAAATGATGATGTGGGTAGGTCCTCAGTGTGAGCGAGCTATATCCACCCTGAAGGTTAATCTTGGACAATATCTGACGATCGACTCTTTTAAAAGAAACCAGAGAGCGTTGACAGAGAGGAGAAGGTAGAAATGACTCAGCCTG